CGCCGTGGCGGGCTCTCGTGGCACACCCGGCCCGTGACAGATCGACCCCCACCCTCAGACAGACCGATCTCCTTCTCACTCGTGACAGGCGGGCAGACCGGCCTCCTCCCACCTGTGACAGACAGACAGACCGAACCCCCCCACCCTTGGACAGACTGACCTACTCCCACCCGTGACAGATGGATACACCCCATCCCAGACCGACTGACGTTCCCCCGCGACAGACGGACACCCTTTTGGCTAGAGCAGCTGGGGACAGCGTTTGCTCCTTCTCCCCTTGTTTGCTGCAGAGAGAACAACGGAGATCGGGCGGCTGATCAGCTCCTACCTGCTGAAGGAGAGGAACCTGGAGGACCACACCGTTCACCTGCTGTTCTCTGCCAACCGCTGGGAACACGTGTAAAGATCATCACTGCTAAGTTGTAAAAGGAAAATGTGTGGTGTTGAATCCTCCCTGGGGTTTTAGCTTGCAGTGGGTACAGTAGGTGCAAGAGTATGATCCTGTTTAGCAAGGGAAGTATGGCTGGAAGCGATGTCTCAAGGACTGTTAGCACCTCCTACAGCTTTGGATTTAAACTTCCTAGATCAAATCCCATGGTTTGTTTGTTGAAACCATCAGGTGTGATGTTTTTAATCCCTGTGCTGTACTGGATTCAGGAATTGAGCTGAGACTGTATCAGCCTAGACTGTGAATTTACTGCCTTTTTTAAATGAGAAGACCTTGCTTTGCAAGGCAGTCTGTGCGTGAGAGAGTGGGGAAGGAATCGTGTCCAAACTTCTCCTCTAGCCAAAGGCTGTGTGCAGTGTTAAGTGGCTGTCCTTTTGGGCCCAGACTTCACATGTGAAGCTAGGGAAATCTGTGTTGGGGTTGTTTTTACCTGGAAATCTCTACTGCAAAGTGTTTTTCATTAAAAAAAAAAAAATCATTGCTGATTCCGCTGTGGTGGCAGTGCTAAGCAAACTGGGAAGGTGTAAGGCAGATGAGTGAGCCGTAATAAGAAATGTCATTGTGAAGAAAAGATGCTGTGAGCGAGGCAGAGTGTATCACAGATCTCTTGCACCACATGAACAGATTAGTCCCCTTCCCTTTTGTGTCTGAATGCAGCTCATTTGTGGTCTTTCCTGTGAGCAGTGGGGCTGCCTAGAACAGTGCCCTGCAGTGGGGCACCCTGAAGTTGGGTGTCTTGAAAGGGCATTTGCTAAATGTCTGTTAGAGGACAGAACACAAACAGCTATGTATCCACAATAGGCATCGCGGATAACCCTGATGCTGCTAACAATCACTGGTTATGATGATGAGCGTTAACAGAAACACTGGCCTCATGAGCTGTCTTTTAAATTAACTCCTTTCCTTTATAGCACTATAAATCTTGTGTGGCCAGTGGGACGAGGGAAGGGATCATCCTCCTGTACTGGGCACTGGTGAAGCCACACCTTGAATTCTGTGTTCAGTTCTGGGCCCCTCACTTCAGGGAAGTCATTGAGGTGCTGGAGCATGTCCCAAGAAGGGTAGTCGAGCCAGGGAGGGGTCTGGAGCACTCTGAGGCTGAGGGAGGGGAGCTGGGGGTGTTCAGCCTGGAGAAGAGGAGGCTCAGGGGAGAGCTGATGGCTCTCTACAGCTCCCTGACAGGAGGGTGCAGAGAGGGTCGGGTCGGTCTCTTCTCCCAAGTGACAGGACAAGAGTAAACAGCCTCAAGCTGTGCCAGGGGAGGTTTAGATTGGATATTAGGGAAAATGTCTTCATGGAGTGTGCAGATGAGCTGCTGAGGGACCTGGTTTAGTGGAGGACTTGGCAGAGCTGGGTTAATTGTAAACTTGATGATCTCAAAGGTCTTTTCCAACCTAAAGTGTCTATGACTCTATGAAAGTAGTGTAACTCTAATTTTTCCTTTTTCTCTTGCATGGTTTTCAGACCGTTGATGAAAGAGAAACTACACCAAGGGATCACGCTTGTGGTTGACAGATATGCCTTTTCTGGAGTGGCCTTCACCAGTGCCAAAGAGGTGAGTGAGACCTACAGCAGCCCCTGCCTCACTCTGTGTTTGGGCAAATGGTGCCAGTTAGAGGCCTGATACAGATGTTGGTGTGCATGGCCCAGGCCCCTCCTTTGGGGAAATGTGGATTGAAAGTGAGGGATGGAAGTTTCAGCCCAGGTATTGACATGGTCTGCCTGGGTCTACTCCCTCCCCCGAAAGGACAGAGCTCATTCAGTTTCTTTTTGTAAATCTGGACAGACTCCTGGCTGTTGGAAAGCTGGCCTGTTTGACTCTGAAGAATGATTATGTGAGTTTATTTGAGATCTCCATGCTTACTCTGGCTGCTGGCCTGTAAATTTGCAAAGAATAACAGAAGCACGTACGTTGGAAGGGACTTGTGGAAGTGCTGAAGAGTAGGCCAAGTGTCAAGCTTGGGGCCACATCCAGCCAGGGTTTGAGTGTCTCCAGGGATGCAGATCCACAGCTTTTCTGGGCTCTTCTTTTAGTCTTTGCTCACCCTCATGCCATGTTCCCACTTGTGCCTTTTGGTCTGTCTCTGCTCTGAAGACAGTTCAGCTCTGTCAGCCTCCCTTTGGGTCATTCTACACAGCTGTAAGATCCTCCCGAGTCTTTTGCTCACTCCTGTGCTCTGAGGAGGTTGTCCAGGAAGATCAACCAGCTCTCCTGGGCCTCTTTGCCTTTCATGTGAGTTTCCCAGGACATCCTGTCAAGAGGTCTCTAATAAACAGAAATCTACTCTCCTGAAGTCCATATTGGCAATTCCCTTTGTCTTGTTGACTCCTGTCCAGATTTTAAACACCATCTCATGTTTGCTGCAGTCAGAGCTGCCCTTGCCTTCACATCTTTGACAGTTTCTTGCTTGTGAGTCATCACAAATTCAGCAGGGCACCTCCCTTCGCTGCCTATTGATCACTGGGTCAAGGATTCCTTAAGCATGCTCCAGAAACCTGGATTGCTTGTGCCCGGGAGATAGGTGGGTGGTTGAGATCCTCCGTGCCTACCAGGACCTGCATTTTGATCCTTCTTCCAGCTGTCTAAAGGTTCCTCAACATCTTCTCTCTGACTAGGCAGTCTGTAGCAGGCCCCACCCCAACATCACTCGTGTTACTCTGCTCGGGTTGTCCTGCTTTCAGGTGAGCCTCCATTATTGTATCACCCCCCCAGACATTTCCCCCTGGCCTCCCGCCTTCAGTTGTCTACAGACTGCAAATCTTCCCGACATACCTGATGCAAAGCGCTCTTCACTGGCTCAGCAAGCCTGTTGGCACAGACACTCATCCACTTTCTCAGGTGTATCCCATCCTTGCTCAGGACCGTTGAGCCTCAAAGAGTATCCTGTGCTCACAGAAGCTGAAACCCTGCCTGCAACACCAGCTGTGCACTGAGAGCTGACCTACACTCCTTCCTGCCCAAGCCTTTCTTCCTTCTTCCTGGAAGGACGGAGTAGATCCTGCCCCCCTTTGCCCTGCACCCTCACCTCCAGAGCCCTGCAGTCACTCCTGATGCATTTAAGATCACCCTAGAAGTATCACTGGTGCCCATGGGGATGATAAAAAAGCCTCTCCAGAACATCGTGGATTCACATGCCCTGATGGAAGTCTTCCAATGTGTCAGCAAGATCCAGTAGTTGGAAAGCTTTGTCTCTTGCATCTGGGCTGAAATGCCTGGGTAGGCTGAGAAGGCGTAGGGTGGGTATTTGAAAAGGAGTTCATGGGCCCAGAAGGACCCACACTAGAGCTGTGTGGTGTTGGTATTCAGGAGCAGATTTCCTTTGGACTGATCACAGGACACTTGGAATATGAGTCTCTAGCTCTGAAGGACTTTGCAGAAGAGATGTTAAGATCTTCAGCTCTCTGACCTCGGTGAGGATGAGAGGTGCACAGCACCTAGCAAAACCTGACACACACGCACACACACGCACACACACACACCACCCACAACCACCCCTTTTTTTTTCCCCCCCGACCCCAATTACCAGGACTGAATTCCCACATGGAATATCTACTTTACATTTTGTAGGCCTGTGCCTAGTGTTTGGGTCTGCATCTCCTCGCTGGCTGTTCCCCCTCCCCAGCTAACTTGCTTCTTTCCCTTCTTCCCATTCCTTCCTTTCACCTCAAACTCGGTTGTCTTTGTTTGGGACAGAACTTCAACTTGGACTGGTGCAAACAGCCTGACGTTGGGCTCCCAAAGCCAGATCTGATTCTGTTTCTTCAGTTAAGCCCAGAAAAAGCAGCAGAACGAGGGAACTTCGGAAATGAACGTTACGAGAACAGCTCCTTCCAAGAGAAAGTTCTGCAGTCCTTCCACCATCTGATGAAGGACAAGACATTAAACTGGAAGGTGAGGAAACAACCCTGATGGGGCTGTCGCGTTCCAGGGTGGGGGTGTCTCATGACAGGCCCCAAATTGTGCCCATCGCATCCCTGTGCTCCCTCTTCCTGGTCAGGGGGACACACTGGGCATCAGCCGAGGGCACTGTGGCAGAGAGGACACTGCTCTGTCCCAGGACACCCTACAGGGCCCTGTTACTGGAAGGAGAATTCACTCATTTCACTGCTCATGAATAGTAACAGTTGAGTAATGGGGGAGCAGATAGAACAGCAAGGTGAGTTGTTCTCAGTTGGTGGCGGTAATTGAGGAACATTGTTCTGTATTTTTTTTTCTCTTGGAAACAGACAATGGATGCTTCAAAGAGCATAGAAGACCTGCACAGAGAAATCAAGTCCATTGTAGAGGAAACCATGCAGGAGGTTCAGAATAAACCTCTGGGAGAACTCTGGAAATAAAACCTCATACAGGTTATTCTTTTAGAGCTAAGGGAAAACTCACCTCTTCGATCTTCGTCGCTTGGGTGTCTTCCCCTACCCTCCAGTAACTACAGCTTAGAGCCCGTGTGTTCCTCTGCGTCCAGCATGGTGCTGATGTCCTTGTGACGTTACCTGCTCCTCCATCCTGCACACCCCCTGCTGTATTTTATAAAAACACACAATGAGCACGTAACGCTTCTCACATGAACCTTCCTGCCTCAAGTAGGGGCTGTTGTAGCCCCAGTCCTGTAGTGCGGATGTGGGTGTGGACCCCAGCGCTGCCCCTGGCCACAGACAGCAGCAACAGGCAGGCAACAGCCTTCCCAGTTTTGAGGAACGGCCCTGTTTTCAATTCTTCTGCCTCCTAGTACATGCATCCCCCATGCTGAAACCCGTTTGTAGAGGACTTGCAAATAAATTGTTTTAAACATCTTGCACAGGGCTTTTTTTTTTTTCCCCAGTATGGTTGTTTATCTTATAGAAGGATATATGGGAGGTGGAGGTGCTGCAGTTCAGGCACTAAAGCCAGGGAGAGCGGTTTGCTAGAGCTGTGGAATGGAAGGAGAGATGAATTCAAGTCTGCTCCCCAGCTGTTCAGTGAAAACGATACAGAAACTCAACTGCTATGAGCAGGTAAGACTCATATTAGCTCACAGCAAGGCCAGTTTGAAGGGCAAATGGCACATAAAAAATAATTATAGGCTGGTTAAGTTACTCCTGTGGTCAAGATAAGAGTAGCAGTCAGTTGTGACTTCTACACAGACCCCAGTGCCATTTGAAGAGCCCAGCACAGGCTGCCAAACCGGGCCAGCTTGAATTCATCCATCTCACCATAATGACCAGCAAACTACAATAAACTGGAATGTTAAATCATTTGTGAGGTCCACTGAGGTATGGGGATGGCCAGGAGAGTTAAAGTCTCCATCTGCTGGATAATTAACTCTCCTTCTAGTGGTGTGGACTAGAGTGATCTCCAAACTGGAGAGCAAAACAGGAAAAATGGGTGTTGAACTGACCACGCTTACTTCAATGTCTGCTGCTGCAGAGCTGGCGTTCGAATGGCTGGCTGAAAACCGATGATGTGAAAAACTATCAGCTAAACAGCAGGCTTAATCACAAAGGAAAGAAATTTCACTTTCCAATGCAAGAACTTTTCAGCCTTGGCTTGGCTTGTTACCCTCCACCTCAAAAACACACATGGCGGAGATGCACATGTCCCATCTTGGAAGGGCTTAGGCCGTTTTAGAAGTGGCTGGGATGCTGCTGGAAATTCAAATAGTAGAATTGCTATGGAAGTGTTATTTCCTTTTCTGCCAGCCTGTCTGCAGGTGCTCACCCTCTGGGGCAGGAACGTGAACATGGCAGTCCCAAGCAGCCAGCCTCCATTCCGCCAGATCCACCAAAATGGAGATCAAGTCACATACTTGGGAGTTTTGCTCCCATCTGCCTTCATTGCCCTCACAGGGTAAAAAAACCACAAGCATTTTGACAGCATTTCCAGCTGTGCTGCAGGATTACTAGACAGCACCCTCCACCACCTTCAATTCACACGCAAGAACGTTAGGCCAGGCAAAGATTTTAGACCTGTTTATTCAGATACAAATTGAAAGCAGATGAGTGGAGCACAGCCCCACTTCCTCTGCTGCCTTTTCCCCTAACTGCAAGAGAGAAGAGGAGAAGCAGGCAGAAAGCAGCAAATAATAATTTATAGTGACAGAAGCATTGTGGTTCCCAGTTCAAACCTCTGCTTTTGGATAGCATAGGGACAGTTAGAGCATCAGTAGGTCAGTCATGGGGGAAACAGGTCATTTCTAGCTAGCCATCACCACCCTCGGGCACAAAAGCATCAACAGACAGGTTCCAATCCTAGATGTACAAAACAAAGCCTTGTAAAGAGGTCTGCACCTGCAGCATGCATTAAGGAAACTACAAGTTCTGTCGCAGCTTGCATTAGAACAGCTCTCCTCTGCGGTTTCCCTTCCTCCGCATTCTGCGAAGGGCCCCAGGCAGAGCTGTGGTCTTAAAGCAGCTACAGTTTCCAGTATGGTTGGACCTTCAAGGCATTCTGTCTTCACTGCCCTCTTTGGGATGACTGTTTCAAATGGGTTTCTCTGGGTTTGCTCCTACAGTACCCTTGTGCGTACTCTGCAGGGAGGGGGAGCTGGCAGAAGACAAGTAGGAAAGGTACGAGGCTGCTAGGAAGCCTACTCAGACCTTCAGGCACCTCTCCTGATTTGGAAAGGGAATGTCTAACAGGAGTAGTTGGAGGAACCGCTGAACAACCCACCGAGGACACCCTGAGGAATTTATTTAGCTTGTGTTTTTGGTACCGACAGGATTAATTCCCCAGATGCCATGCCAGCACCACACTGGGGCACAGGCACAAGCAGGCCCACGACCAGCAGATCTCAATCATCCCATTCACCTCTCCCAGCTGTGGATATTTTTTTTTTTTCCAGGGCTACGGGATCCAGTTCTCTGTTGGAAGCAGCTTTCCTGAAGACACTTGCTGTAGAGATGAATCCGTTGTAGCAGCACCACGCTTCACCTACTCACTGAGCAAGAAGACAAGTTTTCTATCCTTCCGTTCTTCCTGCTGTTATTTATTATTTAAACTGCGATCGAGACGTGCCTCCCCACCAGCATGGGGCTGCTCCAGACCTTCCACTTACTGAATTACCAGTCACTCGTAAGTTCCCTCAACTTCCTTTTCGTAGGATGTGAGCAGGAGAGGGGTGCTACGCCTGCGGGGAAGTGCAGTGTACTGCAAAGCACGAACAGGAGTTGCGCTGTAGGAAGCCCAGCCACCTGCGCTCCCAGGGTTTCACAGCCCTCTCTGCTGTTCATCTGCGCTGTGAGCTGCAGTCCACATCGGCCACGGTGCTGAAGGAATTAACTCTACGTTTCACCTGCTAGGTGACGGGTGGCTCTATTTAAGCTTCAGAGGAGAGGCCCCCTGCAAGGATTTAGCACTCTAACGATTTCTACGCTTCCCCCAGAAGGCCAACTGACCTGCTGATGTAACAGATAGGCTTTGAATTCCTAAGCACCACTGCATCCACTTCCAGCAACTGTTTTCTGCTGAGAAATTCCGACTCCAGCCAGTAAGGCTGTAACACCCGCTTGGTTCTTCATCCCAACGCAGACAATGCGCGCTCCGCTCAGAGGCTGCACAGAATGCCAGGATGGACAAGAGGCGGGGATGGCAGCAAGCGCCTATGAAAACCGGTAGCCCCAGGCTCTCGAAGGAGCTTCCCTCCCCCCCTTCTCCCCACACATAAACACAAGTTTGCAGTCAGTTTCCTATTTGTTTTCAAAGGGACAAGATTTCGAAGTCTTCATCTTCTGAGTCAAAGAACCTTTCCAATCTGTCGGCGTCAGAGGAGTCTGCAAGAGAAAAAGAAAGCACTACCTCCGTGGGACGCACTGACCGCTCAGCAGCGGCGAGACCGGCGGCTGGAGGGCAGCAGCACCTGAGTGCCAGGTGCCCGCGAGTTCCACGGGACTCGGCAACATACCTGAATGTGGGCTGGGAAGAGATGAGAACATGCCAGTAGCATGGAAAGCGACCTGGAGAGAGTTACGTGGTGCGCAGGCGGCGTGCCACGTTTCACAGGCCCCAAACACAGCCCTGGCAGTGCAAGTCTGTGCTGTGACCGTTTCATACAACCTTCCTGTGCAGCAGCTCTGGATTAGCAGGAGACCGTTCTGCCTCAAGAGGCTCAAAATAGGGGAACTTTCCCAGGGCTGGGCTAATATCCATAAAGATTTCTGGCCCAATTCAGTGATATGGGAACATTTTTTTTCCCCCCATGTATTAGAGACTTGTTTCCTGCTCTAGTTGCCTTTGATCCAGCTACTGGGGAACGTCATGACACAACATGCACTCTCCCAAAAGCAATTACTACAGTCCATTTTGTAAGGAATGCAACGTACTTGATACCTCCTGTTCGCCCTTCCAACTCTATGCTGGAGCCCATACCTTCCCCCTTCAGGGGAAGCAACTTTAGCATAGCAGAAATTCAGGTGAGAACACATGGGCAAACTGGAAGCAAAGGAAAATCCTACATTAAGCCAGGCTTCAAGAAAGCACTCATTGGGCTTGGCAGAGCAGCCTGCCAAAAGCTAAAACTGCAGTAGCTGATGGCTGGGCACAGAGAAGTGCAAAGCTGCAGACCCTCCTCAAACGTTTTGTGATAAGCTTTAATCCCACAGCAGAGCATGCAAATGCCCAGCGTCACTACCTGTGATCAAACTGAAAGATGTGCTGCCAGTTTGATCAAAGGTGGTCCTCAAAAGAGTGGGCCCATCACTTAAATAACACAGTAGAGAACCCAACTGGCTGGGGAAAATACAGAGAAGATGCTGGACAGTGATGACAGTACAATAACTCCTTCTAGTGAGGGGTAGGACTGTAAGAAAACCACAACGGCCACAGCAGACAGGAGAGGGTCTGCAAGCTAGGGAAGAGGGAGAAGGACAAGTAGCCCATTACAGAAACATTTTTAAGAGTTAATAACAGCAGCAATTAGAGGCAATTTAACAGAGGCAAAGATCACTTCACAGTTTAAGGGAAACAAGCAGTCTTACAGAAAAGGACAGGGAGATAAAGGCAGCTTTGAAAGTTCATGCCAAGGCTGAGAGCACGTTAGCAAGGCAGAAGAGGATGTAGGATGCACGTGATGGGACACAGTCCAATGCCTGGTGACAGGGTTTGTCCACGCACACTCACTCCTCTTGGCAGAGGCTGTCAATGGCTCTTTATCTCCTGCAATGTTTGTGCATGCTATTAACATGATAAGCAGAGCCTAACAGCCCAGACACTGCCCAGCACTTGTTCCTTTTTGCATTGGTAGTAGTACATGCACAGGGAAGGGGTGCCTTACACTGGAACTAAGTTTGACCAGCTCTGTCTTTGACCCTTTTCATTACCTAGAAACTAATTTTTCAGCCTTTTCAATCGACCTTTCTGAATCCTCCTAGCAACCCTTTACAAATCATAGATTCACATCACTGTGAAAGCCTACGAACTTCTTTCTTCCCCTCAGTCACAGACTCCTTTTAAAAGCTGTCCTGAGACACTTTTGTCTGCGAACAACTAGCTGAAAGCCAAAGAACCAGAGCAATTGACCCAAGAGCTCCAGATCAAACTCCAGGCAGAAGAGGAACATACTAGATGGCACTGTGCAATTCCACACAATTTCCAGGAAACCAAAAATGCTTAGCTCTACTTCCTTGCATAGCCTCACCTGGTGTGAGATTCAGGACATCAGGGTTGGAGAAATGCGACGGCTGGCGTTCGACCAGTTCGAACATTGGCAGCGCTCCTCTTACCAGGGACAGCTGTGGAGCAAGAGCAGAGCCGTGAGCACCAACACCTCTCTACTCAGTGCTCTGAGGCTTTAAGGGGTAATAAACCCTCTCCTATGATGAAAGGCTGCGAGAATTGGGCTTGTTCAGCCTGGAGGAGGCTTCAAGGAGACCTTATAGCACCTTCCAGTACCTGAAGAGGTTACAAGGGAGCTGGGGG